TGGCTCTGTGAGACCATCAGCCTCTGAGACCTGGTAGGTGAGGTCCGTCTCCTCGAATCCCGTGGCACTCATCCGCTGGTCTGTTGAAGGGTCCGTACGGGGTGGAGAATCAGGGGAATTTAGGCAGGTCTGGATAAGGGCTTTACCCGTTTCACTGGTGATCATGGGCTGAAGTTTTCGCGTGGCAAATGTGTAGACGTGGCCCGTCTCGCTGGCAACCAGGAGCAAAACTTGTGTCCCCGTTAAGGTGGATAATTCGTAAGCCTGGAAATATTGAGAGGAAAAGATAACAATGAGCCCTTCTGTATTAGAGTGACATTTCCATGACCAGAAGACACAGATTGATAAGTGACGGCAAACTTAACACTGATTGATTGGACAACAGTGACAAACATCTTGAAATTGTCACAAATGTTGTGTGGTTGAATATTGTGTGGAGATTAATGAACTGGTGAGCCACAGATACCAGAGAAGCCCGTCACATGTTCCTGAAGGTCACCTGTGGCCTACTGCAGGTTGTCATTACACACTCCGTGCCTGACTTCTGCATCTAGGCCAGTTCTCAAGATATGCAAATGTTTTAATGTCTAGCGCTGCAGTAACCTGATCGGGCATCAGGACTATTTCGGCCGAGACAGGAATGAATGACAATTGAGCGAGCAACGACAAATGAGTCAGAGCAGATGTGGAAACTACCTTCAACTGAATCCCTGTCAGAAGTGTCAGACCTCAGCTGCTCACAGCGATTGCAGATGTGGTCCTGACTGAACTGAAAAGAGCTCTTGAGAGGCGGGACATTTCTGGTTAGCGTATATGTAGTCAGTGAGTGTGTATGTTGTTAAGGTCTTTGCTGTTGAAATGTGTGTTATAGTGGTGTGGTTGCACAACAGTAAACTAGTACCCGTTTAGTGCTATAGAACTAGTATTAGTAGAACTTGCATGTTAAATAGTGTTGGTAAAGTACTTGAAATAGTATAGTTTAACAACAGTGGTGGTGTAGTACGAGCATCAACACCATGGTATGGCACTACTATCCGTGTACTAGTGCTAGTATGAGTACAGTACTAGTGTAACTGGAGTCTTATGACACTCGTAAGGTTATAATAGTATCAGTATTGGTATAC